CCGAGCCCGCCCACGGAAACTTCTCCAGGCATCGGGCCTCCGATAAAGACATCAAAGACCACGCAAGAAACATTTAGAATTTCAAACAACTTACCCGACATTCGGAATAACTCCGGGATACAATTTATCCCCGCGATACGAAATACTAACCTCTAAATTTGATTTATTTTAGGTTAACGATTTGGAGGGAAGCTTATACTTGCACCCTGAGCGAAAGATTAATTGCCTGAATTAAACATCATTGCAAGAAACAATGACTTTGTTGAGAAGAATAATTAAGGTGATATGAAATGGTCGTTCTATATACATAAACGGCAAAATATTAATAAATCATCTCTGCAAACTGGATGCGCCAAATAATGTAAAACCTCATCACGTGATTATGGAGGCTCTAAGGAAGAGCGTAATGCTCGTGAAATTTCATTTTTCATAGAAAATGTTCGTTTCATTTAGCCTAGACTAGAAGCAAAATCACATTTTTCATTTTTTTCTTTTTTTTTTTCCGTGAAAAATGAAATGTCATGAGCATCGCGTTGTTCCTTAAGGCTCAAATAATTGGGTGCACCTTGTTTGGAGGAATATTTTACAAATATTTCGACGTTTTGGTATACAGAATGGCCCTTTCATATCACCTTAACGTTCTTGAGTTAAACAATCATAAACATCAATGTGTGGTTGTAAAATGTACACCCTTCTTTCCCTAGTACAAGGATCGAATGTGACGCGTATAGTGATAGATGCACATTTGAGTGGTTTTAGAAGTGGCGGTATATTTTTAGCCATCCATCTCTCGAAACCGATGCCCCAGGACGTCCGGATTACGAAGATCCAATATCGTCTATTCGTTAAACGGATATCACTGATCCGGATCGTCAGGGCTCTGCTGGGAGGTTCCATTGAGTCTACTCGGTGGAACCGTCAAACGCGTCTTTGCTCGCGATTAAGCCTCTTTGGCACCCTTCTTTTTCCTTTTCGACTCTCACTCCCCACTTTCTGCGGAGTCAAGTGGCCCTCCACCCCCGTCGCTCTGCCCGCTAGTCTAAAATCCAAACTCGAAAGAATAGGACCCTCGCCCTCGGTGTCGCACCCCCAATCAACCGCCCTCTTACCGCCAGACCATGGACTCGCATCACCACTAAATGTTGAGGGAAAAAGCCACCCTTAAATCAAGAGACCGCATGGCATCTGCCAAAGACAAGTGGCGTGCACTCCAAAGACTCCATCATCTGCTAAGTTCGAAGGGAAGAGAGGTCCTCTAGATTAAGGCGGTAGGAAAGAGTCAACCTGTATCTGGGAAGGCAATATTAATAATTGTGGGTATATATCTGGGGAGGCGATATTAATAATTACAGGTATATATATGGGGAGGCAATATTAATAATTGTAGGTATGTATCTGGGGAGGCGATATTAATAATTGTAGGTACATATCTGGGAAGAAAATATTAATTATTGTAGGTATGTATCTGGGGAGGCAATATTAATAAGTGTAGGTATATATCTGAAAAGTCAATATTAATAATTGTAACAATATATCTGAAAAGTCAATATTAATAATTGTAACTATATATCTGAAAAGTCAATATTAATAATTGTAACAATATATCTGAGAAGTCAATATTAATAATTGTAACTATATATCTGAAAAATCAATATTAATAATTGTAACTATATATCTGAGAAGTCAATATTAATAATTGTAACTATACATCTGAGAAGTCAAATCGCTGGGGAAAGTATTTTCCGAATTGGGGGTACCGATTCGTTTGAAATTCTACCACGTGAATATGGAGGCCCTGAGACTCATAAAATATCATTTTTCATCGGAAATTTATTTATTTATCATGGATATCATCATCTGCCAAAGACGACGAGGAGTCCAGGAACGAGACGAAGGGAATAGTCCAGGGATGGGCTTCCTGGCCCGGGGGAGATATCGAGGTCTTATCTCGGACCTCCGAAAAAGGATGCCTCCTTCGATATATATACTCGGCCGAAAGCTCCAATTCGCTCAGCCGAGATACTTATTTACTTTGCGCGGGCGAAACCCTCTTCCTTGACCAAACAATCGATCGCTCCTGGCTGCTCTTCGAGACGCGAGCTTTCGAGATGAAAGGAACCCCTTCCGGTCCCAACACCGATCCTGCACCACATCTTGGAATGGGTTTCGCAGGGGAAGAAATTCATATTTCATGGATTTCACATAGTGAAATTTCATACAAATCGGTACACCCAATTCGGGGAGTACTTTTAACGATTTCACTTCTCAGATATGTATACATATATGGGCTTATTTTTTCATATCACCTTAAACTCTTTCCTTCATCCTGGACTTCTTGGTCGATTCTTGGACCCCTCCTCTTGGAACACGGGTTTCCCTTGCCAGAAACTTCAAGAAAGCGACCTCACCACCCGGAGGAAGACGATCAATCTTGATCCCAATTATCGTGTCGTTCAGCCACAGTAATTGAGTCGGTCTCGGGCGGGCTTTGTGATGCCGGAAAGCCGAAACAATGCCGCCATCGCGGCAGCTCCCTCGCCTTCTTCCCTCGGGAATGAAAACGCTTTTTGTTCGCCTCCGAGGCGTTTTGCACGGCTGATTTATCCTGCCGTCCGCCTTTCCCGCTCGCCGGAACTCTTTACTAAACCTTTGTCTTTAACCGCATCCTCCAGGTCAGGAAGACGAGCTCGTCGGATTGTTGCATCTCTCGTCATAAAATCTCAGCAACGTCCATATACCCTCGCTGACCACTAAAGTTCATCAAATTCGCCCTCATGAAATCTCAGGAACGTCGAAATGCCCTCGCTGACCAATTAATGAAACTTAGACAGGTAAACGTTCATCAGAGTTGCTGTCATGAAATCTCAGCAACGTAGAAATACCCTCGCTGATCAATCAATGAAACTTAGACAGGTAAACGTTCATCAGAGTTGCTGTCATGAAATCTCAGCAACGTCAAAATGCCCTCGCTGACCATTCCATGAAAGTTAGTCATGTAAACCGTTCATCAAAGTCGCCGTCATGAAATCTCAGCAACGTCCAGATGCTCTCGCTGACTATTCCATGAAACTTAGACAGGTAAACGTGCATCAGAGTCGCTGTCATGAAATCTCAGCAACGTCGAAATGCCCTCGCTGACCATTCCATGAAACTTAGACAAGTAAACGTTCATCAGAGTCGCTGTCATGAAATCTCAGCAACGTCCAAATGCCCTCGCTGACCATTCCATGAAAATTAGGAAGGTAAACGTTCATCAGAGTCGCTTTCATGAAATCTCAGCAACGTCGAAATGCCCTCGCTGACCATTCCATGAAACTTAGACAGGTAAACGTTCATCAGAGTTGCTGTCATGAAATCTCAGCAACATTCAGATGCTCTCGCTGACCACTCAACGAAATTGAGTGACGTAAACGTTCATCAGAGTCGCCGACAGAGGAAAGCGACCGAGCTTTGTCGACATTGTGCAACTTCGAAACACGGCTAATCCGGACATGTTCAGGACTTCGTCCGCTTAAGTGGGCAGCTATTAGCCGAAATCGCAGAGGATTTCCTCCGACCTCCATACACAGATATCTTAACTGAACTAATATTGTTAAGGTCTAATTAGTAGCACCCAATACCGAGGAAGAGCTCTTAGGTGCGCCGCCTTACCTAGGAAGAGCCAAAGAGCTGATCCCCTTAACCCCTCCTCGTTGTTGCACCTCCCTTAGATCTTACTTCGATATTACTCCCATTATGAACCACTTCTGCCGGGGATTGTTATTGCAAATGTCAAAGCGAGAGCCTCTCTCGGTCCCCTTTTGGGCCGCGGTGTCTTTGAGATGGCAGAACGAGATGGGAACAGAGTTCTCCGGAGTTCAGCTCGGAGTGATCCCTCAGGAAACTGGGTCTTTACTCTGGGACGTGATTGTTGCCGGGACCTGCAATGCTCGCTTCGAACTCATTACCTACCGGAGAGGTGCATTATTGCCTCTGGGGCGGACTCAGTACACGGAGAAAAATAAGACCCTTCAAGTTACGGATGCCTATCCGCTGGGAATCGTTGTTCACGATAAGATTAAAGATTCTCCCATTAAGCCGATGAGAAATTTAATCCAGGTCGATATATTAAAATTCATCTGTATCCTTTTTGAAGGCTCATGGTAATGTTTCATTTCTTCGAGCTTGATCCAAAAACTCTTAATTTTTTATTCCAACCCTCCAAGAAGGGTAAAACGTCGGAAACGGACCACGCCATCTTGGCTCCAGTCCATGATGAGTAAATAAATTTTATATGAAAAATGAAATTTCACCAGGGCCATGACCTATCTCACAGCCTTCACATTGAAAACTTTGAAACGATCCCTTACATCCAGCTGGAACTTTTTTTTGTATTGTTCTGGTCTATAAATTAACCAAGTTTCATTTGAAGAAATGGTTAAAGAAATATTCAAAGCGGTGGCTCACCCCTTAAAAATGAATTCTTTCGAAGAATTCCAAATGCATGTCTCATAATTCTTCATTCCCTACATTTTGACGGTTGTTTCATGAAAATCGGTCGAGTGCTTGTATATGAAACAGTCAACTTACCCCCTTGCACGGCCAACCTTGAAGCCTGATTTCACCCCCTAAAAGTGTTTATCCGCCGATAAAAAAAAAAACACCCTTTAAAAATGAATTCTTTCGAAAAATTCCAAATGCATGTTTCATAATTCTTCATTCCCTACATTTTGACGGCTGTTTCATGAAAATCGGTCGAGTGCTTCTAAATGAAACAGCCAACTCACCCCCTTGCACGGCCAACCTTGAAGCCTGATTTCACCCCCTAAAAGTGTTTATCCGGCGATAAAAAAAAACACGGGTCCCTTAGATTTTAATTCTCTATAACATATTTAAAAATGAACAAAATCGGAGGGGGGCACCTTAAGTATCTTCCTTGTTGGAACGCACGTGTCGACCGCCCTCCGACATCTCTTCGGATGAGAGGGTGCCTTTTTAACATTTCCTTATTTTATTTCCAGGGACGATGTAACCGCGAAAAGCCGCCCTGCAAGTACTTCCATCCACCGCAACATCTGAAGGACCAGCTCCTGATAAATGGGCGCAATCATTTGGCCCTGAAGAACGCCCTGATGCAGCAAATGGGACTCACCCCTGGACAACCCCTCGTCCCGGGCCAGGTGCCCACAGTGGTGCGTCCTCTCCCTAGACCCTGCTTATTTAATATCACATTATTATTACATTATATTATTGCACTGATCTCTTTAACTTTCGCGTCCTTCTACACTCCACACGGATCGAGACGACTTCGACCTCCACTATAAACGTCTCGACGCTCACCCTTTGTTACTATATGATAATCTCGGTAGTTACCATTGCGTAGATCGTCGACGACGGTGCGACGAGTCCTCCATTGACGAACAACCATTAAACAATAAATTCCAAAATTCAAAACACATATTTCGCGGTCTGGGAATTCCCATCGCTTTCCTCAATTTTTTCACAATTTGATAACGATTAATGATAACTGATTAGGACCGCCATTATCAAACTCGATTGATAGAAACTAGCGAGAATTGATTTCCATTCGAGAATGAGAAATTTTTGCCATGCAAGGAATATTTCGACTATTTGTATATATTATTTTTAATGACCGGTGGAAAATTAGTAATTACGGAATTAATCGTGCAATCTGTGGTAATGGGTTTTCTCTTTTTTATTTTTTTTTCTTTTTTTGCAAGAACTACCGAAGTTCATTTTAGCCTTTTTCTTTTTCTTATCGTCTCCCCGGTGTTTGTTTTATATTCGGGTGGTATGAGTTTGATGTCATTAGGTTGTTTAATTAATTGTCGAATGTTTTCCATTGACTCGTTGCACCGTCGAGATGCGTTAGAGCCCTGGACGGAAAATAGCACGCCGCATGTTTTTTTTTTTGGTCAGTGTCGCTCCAGCTATCACCTTCAGTACGTAATACATGATTGCTCCACCGAGAGAATTTCGGTGGACATTTTTCGAAAACTAACGAGCACCCCTGGAAAACCCTCTGGAGAGAAATTCGAAATCCCGTCACTAGCTCCACCGATAAATAAATCCAGGACGATTAAGATAAACTTAAACAATATTTCATTCCCCGCGGGTTTGACAATTTTATCTCAGCAGATTGATAATATATAACGATTAGAAAATTAATTCGCTAACCTTGAAAATATTCCCAGGAAAATTCAAATTAAAAGTAATTGCCTCTCTAAACGTAGAATGAAATTAATTCATACATTCAATACATTCCTCGGGTTTAATTTCATTCCTATCGAATTTCGTGGGTTTTATGAACATTTCTATTTAAGGGTTCTTAAATTCATTCCTCGGGTTTAATTTTATTCCCACCGAATTTCGAGGGTTTTATAAACATTTCTATTTAAGGGTTCTTAAATTCATTCCTTGGGTTTAATTTTATTCCCATCGAATTTCGAGGGTTTTATGAACATTTCTATTTAAGGGTTCTTAAATTCATTCCTTGGGTTTAATTTTATTCCCATCGAATTTCGAGGGTTTTATGAACATTTCTCTTAAATTCATTCCTCGGGTTTAATTTCATTGCCATCGAATTTCGAGGGTTTTATGAACATTTCTATTTAAGGGTTCTTAAATTCATTCCTCGGATTTAATTTCATTCCCATCGAATTTCGAGGGTTTTATGAGGCGCCCCGGCCTCGGCGGAAGTTCTCAATGTTGTCATTAAGTTTTCAATGGCTTTGTCACACGAGAGTCCTTTGCAGATGATACTGGTATTGTTCTTACGGCAGTTCCAGTGCCGAGCGAAATGGGGAGGACGAAAACAATGATCTCGACTCGTCATAACGTTGTTGGGGTGGCGGCGAAGGGATGTGCCGCTTTTCATTTCGATCGTTTCGCCCGAATTCAACCCCTCGAAATTCCCCCATTGACATCGCCGACCGACATTTTCCTTTGTCCTCCAGTCAACTTCGATAATGTCGACGGAAAAGTATCCTAAGACGAGCCACTTTGCGTATCCGTGCTAAAAAGAAAGAATGAATCCCCACATCCGATTGTTATCCTTACAATCACTATTAATTTATTCACTCATTTGAAAGAACCCCACCGCCAATTATTTCTCCTCGGATACACTCAACTCGGCCCGATCACTCGTAATTTTTATTAAATTTAACATTTCATGCAACTTTTTCAAACGGCTGCCTCGTAATCGCGGATAATCCGATATTTCGGATTTTTCACATTAATATTTCGGTAATCAAGATATATCACTTCTCTCGTCTAAGTAATTTAATTTTTATTAAATTTAAGTAACGTAATTTTTATTCAATTTAACATTTCATGCAACTTTTTCAAACGGTTACCTCGTAATCGCGGATAATTCGGTATTTCGGATTTTTCACATTAATATTTCGTTAATCAAGATATATCATTTCTCTCGTCTAAGTATGAACGTATAAAAAATGTCAAACAATATCGTCCACCAATCGGGAAAAATAATGGGAAATAAATTTCCTCTGAAGTCACTTTCCAACCCCCTTAACGATTGGGTATCATAAAGGCTAATTTTTGGGAGACTTAACAAGAAAAGTTATCCTTAAAAATCGGATACCTGGTATCACTGTAATTACGATTATTTCTAAAAACAAAAGACTGCAGTCAAGAGGTTTTAATTGCCGAGGGCGCAAAGCCAAGGTTTAACAATTGCAGTAATTGTCGCATTTCCAGGGGTTCCCACGAGTGCTCGTACGTCATCCAATTCGTGCATTCACAGTGTGGGATCTGACGCACGCACGAGCAAGCACGTGCACGCGCGACACGCACACGCGCGATTCGCAAACGTCGCCATATTGCCGGTGAGAGTTGCCAGTGGGTAAAGAAACAGCCTTAAAGCATTGTAAAAGCCGAATTCAAATTGAAAATTCCCTCCAAAAGATGTTCAAACAACTCTGCCTACATTTTACTTCAAATTCGCCGCGAGAAATCTGAAAAATCAGGAAATAAACAGGTCACATAACCTAAAAACCAGCAAAAGTGAAAATAATCTGGATTTTCGGAAGTTATTAATAAATGTAAAAGTTGCCTACAACAATGAGGATAATTTGTGCCAGAGCGATGACTTCGCGCCATCTAGTTCCAAACCCTAGAACTAGAGACTCGAGTCGGGCGTTTCTCATAGGAACGATGATCGACGGCGTGTGTGGAATAATTATTGGAAACTGATATTAAACTGGATAACGTTCAATATCCATCCGCGCCCTCGATTATTCTCGTTAGAAATCGCCACGGTTCATTCATTTCGCTAGCTATAACATTCCTAGAAGGTGGAGCGAAGTCATTCTCTGGTGCAACGATTAGGTTAGGTTAGGTTAGGTTAGGTTGGAAACCACTGGCAGCGTTTCGAAAACGAAGATGTCGCCCTTAGCGACGTTTCCGAATCGACGTCCGCCCACCTATGGAGGATTCCATCTAAAGTAAAGAGAAATAATAATGGCAGTGTTAATATAATTCGTGCCACGTGACCCTTTATTACTATACACGTACGACTGCCTGTCTGTCCCCTATGTTTGCCGCTGTGGCGCTCGTGGTTGTGGTTGATTGTTGGTGTGTTCTCCAATCGCGTCATTGGTGAACAGGAGGCCCCGCCACCTCCGCCACCACAGCATCACCTTCAACAGCAAATCCAGCAGCAACTTCTTGCTACCCACGCCTTTATGGTAACTCCTGGTTTTGGTTGGCTTTTGACTAATTTTTAGTTTCGTCGACGGAGGCAGCTCCTAAGAGAACAGGCGACACGTACTTAAAGCCAACTTAATACGCCGATGGCCTTAAAAATAGCAACGCCAAGAAATATTTCATATTTATGAAACACAAGAAATTCAACGAAACACTCCTGTTCATTCGTTACGCGACGAAGCATTTTCTCTAGTTCGGCGAACTCAGTGTTTCAATTTTAATGGCCATCGGGGTTATTTACTCACTTTAAGGAACATAATGGGATATTTAAAAAGCGATTAAGTTCGTAGAATATCACGTTAGAGCAATTTCTTTTCGGCTATTTCTGTGGTTATTTGGAGAGGAACCGGAGCGCGATGAGGGGCACTGTGCCGCGGAGTGGGGGACCAATCAGCGCGCTTCTATCCCCTCCCTTTCTCAGTGGTTCTCCTCGCGCTTCGATCTGGAACTCTTTCCACGTCCCTTTAACCTCGTTACACTTGGTACGCGTAATGTCCACGCAATTTTAATTATCGCCAACTCTCTTGGAGCTTTCTCCCGGTAGTTGGGATGCATTTTGAGATGTTATTTTTCTTTTTCTTTTTTTTTTGAGATTCTTTTTTTTTCTTTTGAGATTCTCTCAAAATACATTGACGCACCGTAGTCCCGTGATCTGTCGCGCATGCTATGTCGAATTAGCTCGCGCTATAGTGCGTAGCACCTGCTACATGTTTCCTTCTTCTCGGTTGAAATTTTTACACAAAAGGGCCCTTGAAAGGACCACCTCGAAGTAATTGAAAATTGTCAACAGTTTTGTGCATCCTTTGTCACGCCTCGTGAACCACTTGCAACGGACTTGCACATCAATTTATCGATACCTTCGCACTTTGCAATTGTGTTTAACTTATGGTTCTTTTTTCTTCTTCTTTTATTTATTTTATTTCTGTGGCGTCACTTGAATACTTTTTATCGCCCACTATGTATCCGCGAGAATAAGGAAATTAGTCGAGGAAAAGATTAAAGAAACGCACGATTCGATGTCTGTAGTTGTAGTTAGCGGCAGCTTTTTTCTTCAAAGGTCCGTAAGTATTCGTGTTGGAATTCTCGGGAGAGCTTTGACATGTCAGGTGCAGTGCGTCATTTCGACTCGGAATCTTTTGTCCTATCACGTAATTTAAACACCGAATTCTTATCGAATTGGGAAGTGACATCGATTATAGGTTTATCTACGTGCACAAGAAAGTAAAATAAGCGTCACTTAATCATCCCATTTTCGGCCGATTAAATGATAACTCTGTATATCCCTTTTATCGATATCAACGGCATTGGTCTATATTATCTTGTCTAAATATCAGTAAATTACGTATTTACAGAAACTTGGATATTTTATGTCAAAACCATTGCACTGCACCTTGACTCTGAAAAAAGGGACTCTTTTCCCTGGTCAGCCAGATTATTGAAAAAAAAAAAAAAAAGGAAGTGAAATGATAAGAAATCACAAATTCATCCCTTTAATTTGAGTTATCTGAGGAACGTGTTCTTATCACATCGAAGTCTTTCAAAATTACTAATGCAAGCTAGACATAACGACAGAACTAAAGAAGGTGTTCAAATTTCGATCGATCATGCTTTCAAAATAATTTCTGTTGTGATCTTTGGATTTTAATTGAAAATGATTCTTTTGAGATCTTTGGACTTTAATTCAAATTTAATTCTTGCCAAGGTCGTTGAATTTTAATTGAAAATAATTCTTGTCGAGATCTTTGGACTTTACTTCAAATTTAATTCTTGCCAAGATCGTTGAATTTTAATTGAAAATAATTCTTGTCGAGATCTTTGGACTTTACTTCAAATTTAATTCTTGCCAAGATCGTTGAATTTTAATTGAAAATAATTCTTGCGAAGATCTTTGAATTTTAATTGAAAATAATTCTTGTCGAGATTTTTGGACTTTAATTGAAAATCATTCTTGTCGAGATTTTTGGACTTTAATTGAAAATCATTCTTGTCGAGATCTTTGGACTTTAATTGAAAATCATTTTTGTCGAGATCTTTATATTTTAATTGAAAATAATTCTTGTCGAGATCTTTGTATTTTAATTGAAAATAATTCCAGTCCAGATCTTTGGATCTTAACGTTTAAACTCGGTAGCTTGTCAGTTAGCACCTTTAATTCTGTAACCACTGTTCAGGGTCTCTTATCAGAAGCTCTCCCGAAGCTTTGGCGAGATTCGCAAGGGCAGCTTCGAAAAGACGGTAGCAGGCCCGTCTCCGGCAGACACGAGCCCCAAAAGAACCTCTGGAGATCGTGTTTCCGCTTTGCCAAGATATTTTTTACCGCTGCTTTCGGGAGCCCGCCTTGTGCGCGTTGCTGCAAACCGCTTCGTCCGGGAACTTGCACTCGATAAGGCCGCTTAACACGAGAAAGTCTCAGGAAGAGGGGCAAAAAGGAGGGCGCGTATATATCGCCGAGAGAGGGGAGAAAAAGGGCGAGCGAAAGAGTGACTCGGAAGGATGTGAAGTTGGCTGGGAGTGTGAATCTAAAAATGGCGCCGCCAGTATGCACCAGTCCCGGAGGAATCGCAATTACCACCGTCGACGAGCCAGCCAGCAAAGGCAGAGCTCAAGATATACGAAATTTAAGTCAGACTGCCCGCGATAAGTTGAAACTTTCCACCCTCCCGGGAACTTACCGTGCCCGACATTTTCCATGGCCGGAAAATTCAGATCGCGATGAAACTTAGAGGGAGTCAAATGAATCCGCGGCCATGGTTTCGTGGACCGGGGAAAAACTTCCCTCCCGTGTTCCGAGGAGTTCCAGAGCTCTGGACGACTTCTAAGTGGAGTTCTCGGAGACCCGCGTCCATCTTGCGCCGCCATTTTGGTACCGCCGAAAATATCCTCGTTAATGGGACTTTTTTCCCAAACTGCGTGTACCGAATCGTGTCAAACCTCACAACGTGAACATGAAGGCGATAAGGAAGGTCCTGGCCCCCATAAAATTTCAATTAATAAAAAATCTCTCAGATGTTTTTCACATTTTTCGAAAAACATGAAATTTCACGAGCATCAGGTCCTTCCTTAGGGCGGTCATGACCACGCGTTGAAGTTTCAAATGATTCGGAGGGCCCATTTTGTAGAAAAGTTTTACATATGTGCCCATAATTATGAAAGTGGTCTAAGTCAAAATTAAAAAAAAAATGAGTTTATCAGTTATTTCACGCCATATTATTTCAAAGGAAATTAATTCAATGTAATAAACAAAAAATATATGACTTAGACCACTTTCATAATTATGGGCACATATACATAGAATGACCCTTTCATATAACCTTAACCCCATGACATGGAAATGAACCAGAATTTGAAGCGTCGAAGAAATGCTAATTAATTTCCCCGGAGGCAGTTCTTGACATCTCGGAGACGTCAAAGTGTATAATAACCCATGACATAAGTGACGTCCCCTAGACGTCATTGCATGTCAAGGGGTTAAGCACGAAAATAGATCTCCATTCAGAAGACGTCCAATAGACGTTCCTATACTTTGCACCGTATCTCAATAAGCGAACCTGACGACCTGGTTGCTCGTAGCGATAAAGAGATAAAAAGTAACCTGGTACCAGGATCTTCGGGTCCAGGAGTCTAAACCCCCAGGTGCATACCGACGGTGTGTCCGTGCGAGAGCGAAAGGGTTCGAGCCGGGAGAGGGTGATCGGGGACCTTTCGTTCGGGTCGGGTCTAACGTCGGCCGCCTGGATGTTGTCCGGGTATCTTCTCCACAGGCGACCAATCCGTACCTGACCGGGATGCCGCAGGTGGGCAACACGTACAGCCCGTACTTCGCGCCCAGCCCGATAATGCCGGCCATAATGGGCCCGGCAGACCCGACGGGAGTGGGCAGTCCTCTCGGGGTGGTGCCGCAGACGGTGGCGATGCCGCAAAAGATGCCACGAACCGATCGTCTCGAGGTATGTCTACCACCAAACTACCTACAGCACGGGGCCCAACATGGCGCCGGGGCCCAGTGCCCGCTGACTGGGCCCAACGCCGTGTACCAGGTGAACCCCCAGGTGCCGGCCGGTCCCCCGGGTCCCAATCAGGTCTCGCCCGTCTCCACGATACAGTCCCCCTCGCCCACCACCGTCACCACCTCCGTCTGCACCCCGATACACAACCCGCACCTCCACCACCATCCCCTACACAACCTCGTCTACGTCCATGCCTACTACTAGGAGATACATATTTACTTATACTTATGTACCTACCCTTACGCCGAGCCTGCGCCTATACATGCCGACCCATACGACGCGCATGTATACGCGCGCGTCTGTGTATATTGACTAGTGGTTAATGGGGAGCGGGACGAGCCGCGTCGAGGGGGTTCGACGACTCCGCTGCTTCTGGAACTAACCTCAAAACGGAGCCGTAGGTCTTTCCGGTCCGGCTTCCGAGTCGGGAATGCGCCGCCGAAGGCATCTCACGAGTCCCCGATGATGAGGCGGGGTTTCGATGTCGTATCGTCATCGGGGAATTCGGGATTTCTTCGGGCGTAGAGTCCCTTAAGGCGGTGGGAAAGGGCCGACGAAGAGGTTTCGTTTGTGAAACTTTTCTCTGAGCTGGATGCATCGAATCGATTTAAACTTGACAATGTCGATGTGCAGGATATAAGGAAGGTCCTGACACCCATAACATGTCCAATGTTTGACATTTTTTTTTTTACGTATTTTCACATTTTTTTTAGACAAAATGAAATTTCACCAGGGTCAGGACCTTCCTATTAGCTTCCATATTCACTTTGTCTTTTCAAACTTCCCAACGTGGATGTGGAGGCCCTAAGGTAGGTCTTGAAACTCATGAAATTTCATGTTTTACCAAATAAAAATTTGAAAACATCCGTAAACAAATTAAAACAAAAAAATTGAAACTGTGCAGCTGTCAGAATCTTCTTTATAGCTTCCATATTCACTTTGTCTTTTCAAACTTCCCAACGTGGATGTGGAGGCCCTAAAGATGTTGAAACTCATGAAATTTCATGTTTTACCAAATAAAAATTTGAAAACATCCGTAAACAAATTTAAAAAAAAAATTGAAAATGTATAGCTGTCAGAACCTTCTTTACGGTTTCCATATTCACATTGTCAAGTTTGAAGCGATACGACCCACTCAGTACGGAAAAAAGTTCCATATAGGCGAGACCTCTCCGCGGCACTTTGCCATCCCCTTAAAGATTGGAAAATCTCGCGGGAGATATTTTGAAGTTACTTTGGGCTTGAAACTTGAATTTCGAGGCTTTGTACGTCCAACGTGGACAGTTTTTGGAAACGACGCATTCGTCCGACCTCCTCGTGCGCCGGCTACAACGGAAACGAACGGCCGCTGATTGGCGGCCTGTACGCGCGGCTTCCGCGCATGCCGGGAGGCCGCGTCTGGCGCCAACGGAAAGGGCGAGTTCGATTGGCGGTTGCGACTCGGTCGCGCTACAACGGAAGCTGAATGCGAGCGTGCGCGCGAGGGCCCGAACGAGGCCTCGAGAACGCGGACGAGGCCGCCATATTGGACCCACCGAGGACGCCATTGGTCGTCGGATGGGCCAATGGCGTACTCCCGCAGAAAACCGTACACCGGCCTCGCAACGAAAACGAGAGTACCGCCTTAATCGGGGAAACTCCCCATCGTTACGCCTAATGTTAAATACCCCGAAATCGGGCGAACTTGAATATGCAAATGTACGTGTAAGATAGTTTTTTCACAAGGGTTACGGATACGTTTGCGATCGATTTCCGCGCGGAATTAACGTTGGCCGCGAGTTTCCCCGGGTAGGCTTGCCCCGTTTTCGAGGTTAGGAGAGACGCGCGACCGTTTCGGCAGTTAGGAGAGAGCGACGCGAGCCTCTCCGCGGTTCGTGCGCAGTCGCGAGGAATAGTTCGCTGAGGACGGTGTCGCTAACTTGAGAACGGCGCTCCGTGTCGAGCCCGCCGGACCAGAGCGCACTTCCTGGGCCCTTGATATACCAGAATCCGCAACCCCCGGTGGAATCGGATGGAAATCGGGGGAGAAATCTGACATTTTAGCGGCACCGGCGCGCAGCGCGTCCGAGGTGTATGCGCGAAGCGGCCGGAGGGGTGGCGGCCCTTCTCGGCGGCATTTCCGGTTCCCAAAGTCTCACTTAACGTCGCGATACATTAAGCCGGCGATTTCCGTTCGCAGGCGCGCCCCCCAAGATGGCGCCACCGTCGCGGCCGCCGCGCGCATTTCCCTCGACTTACGGTCGTAGATAAGCTAGAATTTCTAATCTAACTAAAGCCGGAAGGAAAACGCGGAAGAGACGTCCGGTCGACGGAAGGTGCAGGAGACGATCGGCCTTGCCGAGGAATGGAGAAATACCCTGCCGAGAGTAATTTTGTAACGATAGGCGCGCCACGCCCGCGGAAGCTCTGCCCGCGGGCGGGCTTTTCGAATTTTTCGACACGTCCTCGAGGTGGACGAACGGAGGGACGCGCACCTGCCCTGAGGAATCTCGGAGACCCGAGGTCCACCGACTGTTGGAAGAGAATCCTACCAGAGGGCAGGCCGAGCGCGTAATGGCGGACCGAGTGGAGGGAAAGGAAAAAAAAATAGAAACGAAATTTCCTGTCTTACCTTACATGCCTAATCATAACGCACCTAGTGTTACGATATACGCGGAGTCCCCGGTATCCCAACCGGTCATGGATTCCAAATAGCGGTCGAGGAAGGCAACTAAAACCGGGCGAGGCGAAGAAGCGCGGAATTTACCTAAGGAAATGTACTCTATGTACTTGGCGCGATACTCTGCCGAGTTTTTCGAAGGAGCGTTCTCGCAGGTACTTCTGTCTACGCCACGTGATCGATTCCAATATGGCGGTTCACTTCGATGTCACGTGGCCGATTCCAAAATGGCGGGTATGTTCTTTTCCGGGGTCACGTGACTTATTCCAAAATGCCGTGGAGATACCTTCTCCCGGTGGAAAGTTCACGTAAATTCTTGCGTTAATAACGGAGGGCTATTATCTATGTTTAATAATTACATTTGCAGTTTAAATGTTTATCCACGCAGCCTTGACGTGTTGGGGAATTCCTCCCACCCAAATCCCCTGTTTGGGAGCGCTGTATTAAAGTTGTTAATATTCTCTAGAAATGTTTGTTATAGCACTTTATTCTCGAGGCTGGTATATTGCACGATAACGAGGCGGCTCGGTTATTCGGCGATTGTTGTTAAGCTTGTTATATAAGGTTTAATTTTGCGAATTCAAATTTCCCGCCTATGGAAATTTCGGTTAAACTCTGTTTTAATCTACAGTTAGTGAACCGCGATGGTAGGAATTCACGAGTGAAGACGAACCTTCTCGACGCGGTGCGTGTACGCGGCGCCATTTTGAAAAACGAGGATTTGTTTAAAAAGTATTCCTAACGGTAGACTAGGGGGAGAAAAATTGGAAAAATTCCTCGCCAGGCGAGGGAACAAAAATATGTTTTTGTTCATTTGGAGGGATACTTTCGACCGGTTATTTTTCCGATATTATTTCCGTTTCGAGATATCGATTCGGTAGAGGCGACGCGGAATTGTCGCGGCTCTGCGCTCCTTCGCCCTCGCCCCTCATAATTATTAAGAAACGCATAAATATATATTTAGATATCTACATATAAGAGGACTTAGATATCTAGGTTTTGAAGTTGTTTAGGGTTATTTTATTAATTAATAGTCCGACGACGTCTCCGGTGACGCGGGACTCGCAGCGCTCTCACGGCGAGGAAGAGAAGCTCCGATGTACGGATGGACAGAATAACTTCTTTCTTCCTTCTACTTTCTTATTTTCACCTTGCTCCTCCTTTTCCGCACCTTTTAATCGACCTACTTTCTGCAAAGGAAAATCCCACCGTTTTTTTCTTTTTAATCTCTTTTTCCCGTAATTTCCCCTCCACCTTCTTAACCTTCGTCCGTTAATTGGCTATTCACGGATTATCTCCTTTTTTTTTTCTCCCCACGCTCGCAAGAAAAGCATAGCTCGAAATGACAATATAATGATTCTTTTCGAATTTCACTTCCGCCTCCATTTCTCCTTCTTGACTCACCTCGTAAGAACTGGTATCAAACCTTTTTCTATTTATTTTCTACATTCCAATATCCATTTGAATTTTGGTTTCTTTTTATCCACTTTGAGCCCCTTTTCTGATTTTACAATTTTGAAGCGCACACCAAAGCTTCCGGATCTCTAAATAACTATTAACTACTTCCTGGTCACCGGATAGCGGAAATTAAGGAGGCTTCCTCGAGTGATCGACACGGTTAAAGAAGTACCTCAAAGTTTTGGAAAACTCCCGCCAGAGTGCAGCCGCGTCAAAGGACGCGTTCTCTCCTCTCCCCAAAACCACCAGTTTCTCGCCTACCAGTGCGCGATACGAAGAAAACACCTTCTACAAAAGTTATCCCTTAAAACATGCGGAACAACTTTCGTCGGAAGGTATTTCCTCCAGGATGCCCGGTTTCGGCGAAAAATTGGCGAGAATGGTGAAGGCGCCGTTGTGGCCTGAAGAGGGCTGCGCTTTAACGATCGGACGTCGCGGCGGGCAGCGCGACAATGGAGCTCAACGATATTTCGATTTCGCACCGACAACGAAATTCTCTTCCCTTTCCCGATCTATCATTCCGATCACTTCCCGCCCTTTGGTGAAACACACGAGAAGCCTTTTCCCTAGAGCCCTTCCTGCCAAGGAAACGGTTACCGCGTTAACCTCCAGCTGAGAAATGGAATCGCCCCATAGGTGACCAGCTTCACGCATTAAGGAAAAATGTCGAGGGGACCGAAAACGTTTCGGAATCTCCCGAAAACCTCTTTTCCTTTCAGAATATCCCACCACTTAAGGGGGTTAGCTTGTGAAATGCGTAAAAGTCAAAGTGAGGTTAATTGATGAGACCAAGCCGGAATTACTACCCTTCGGATATAAATAT